CCAGCGCCGTCGCACAGGGCACAGTAGCGTGGTGGTGAGAGCAAAGGCCGGAGGGTGTTTCAGACGTGCGGGACGACCAAGTCGAGGATGAGAGTGTCGTCGAGTGCCCTGGTGTTTGATGTGTGAGGTGAGGCAGATCAAGAGACAATCAAGCAGAGTGGATGGGTTGATGACTCGGGGCGACGTAGTTGCGTGAATGTGAGTGAGTAAGCGGTTGTCGCGTGCCGTTTGTTTCTGGCGAGGGCTCGTTGCAGACGGCGTGCTGTGATGGTTGTGGGAGGGAAACGAATGGAGTGCAGCGCACGCGTGCCTTCAAGACAGGAACCTGCGTTGCAGGAACGAGAGAATAAGAAGAGAAAAAGGAATAATCAGCAAGAATAGAAAATCAACGTCCGGGTTGCGTGAGTCGTAAAGAGGCGACGAAGCGCAGATGCTGCGCCAGCCGACGATGTCGTTGCAGAACCAAGTCGTGTGGAAGAGGGATCTGGAGTGCGAAAAGAGGAGGGCGGCACCATGATAGGGAAACGGGGCCCAGTATCAAAGAGGCCAAAGGCCTACGCGAGCCCGGCCAACAGCACAATGGGACAGAGGCCAGACGGGAAGTGACGAGAGGACAGACGAGGGCATGGAGTGAAGGAGGTGGGGGTTAGCAGGGGTGGAAGGAGCGCAAGAACAGGGGCAAGGGCAATGGCAGTGGCAGTGGCAGTGACTGCAGTTCAGGGCAGGTGCAAGTCGCCCTGGATCTGGACCTTGACCTCCTTGCGGACCTGGACCCGACATGCTGGGGAAGGAGCCACCTGGAAGCCAAGAAGAAATGAGGTCCGAGAGGAGGGTCCACGGGGGGTGCGCCTCCCAGCTCAATCGATAGTGCTGCGCTCAGAAGCCACGTCGTTGCACTATTGCGACTATGGTGCTCCAAGATACCTTCCAACTACTCATGAAAAAGACAGATCGAGTGAGACCCTGCGTTCGCCCGTCAGCGCACCGGACTGGCTCGAATTCACGTTGCATTGCCTCGTGTGGACTTGGGGCGATGACTGGCAGAAAGACGACGCATCGTCAAAGAAAGGCAGGTGAAGTCAGGTTCGCAGCGACCCATCTGCTACTGAGCCTTTTCCCCCTGAAAAGAGGGTCCTGAAGTCGGTTTAACGGAGAATGAGCGAATCCGAGCGGGACCTCGCTCAAGCCCAAACACTAGCGCTAGCACCTGCAGCCGGGACCCATGCTCGTCATTCTCATTCTTGTCTTCCAGGGCCAACGGTCGTGCGAGACTTGGCCGAAATGTTCCTGTCGATCTTTGCCATCCACATGCAGGCCAAGGCGCCACTCATCCTTACCACCTGCTCAGCATTCGAGGAGAATGGACCGCTGAAGGTCTGTCCGTCTGCCATCTGTATCACATACTGAAGCAACCATCCAATGCCTCTGCGTACGCCGCGTCCGTTTCTTCTCGCATGCCTGTCTGTCACTCTACCTTATTTAGAGGGCCGAGCTGTCATAGTGTACATCTTAAGGCGTGAGAACACCAGACTTCATGGCAACCCACATGACGATTGGTACGCACACCCACGTGTCGTCTTTCTTAAGGTTTTCTTTTTTTTCCTGCTTCCGGCTTCCACCTATTATTCCGCCTGTATCATCTATCAGGAAGTTGGACGGTTCATTCGCAATCACTCATCATTCGCAATAACTCATCACCTCATGTTGATTGATCCCTATATGATTTAAAATGACGAGCCGAGACCGATATGCGCGCATTGCACAATATGGTCAGGGAATGAAGCGGACCCATGATGAGATTTTCCACTGCTTCCGCGCAGAACCGAACCGACCGCCGAAAGACTCCCCCTCATGTCTATACGAAGGCGCCAGAGCAGACCGCGACGGTCAGGCTTGGCAGGCGGCCGGGCGACGTGGGCACCTTGTTCCCGTCATCTTCGGTTGTTTATTTTCGGGCTAGACTGTTTCATTGGCGCAGGTTCCAGGAACCATCCCATCACCATTCTTCCGGGGGTCCTTGCTTGAGGCAGGACGGTCAAGTCTTCAGCGACCGCCTCTACAGCTGACGCCAGACACGTGCACGCTCTCAAATTCCGTGCCTTTCTGACGCGATCCGTAGCGCGTCAATCGTCGCTAGTCGGGACGAGGCTAGCAGGAGAACGATTTAGCTTGCAAGACACCCAGTTCTCATTTCATCTCGCGTTCGGACGCTCCGACACCGTCTATGTGGCTGAGGGACCAGGCCGGTGGGTGATGACTGGGTCTCCACAACCAAAGTTGAAGGTCAGAGGTCAGAGGTCAGAGGTCACAAATATGGCAAATGTCGGGCTTATTAAGACTGGAGCGCAGGGCGGGATGTCAATTTATCTCAAACACAGGGAGATTCTGCTGATTTGAGTGAGCCACAAATGCGTAGTTCGCCCCTGTACCTGTTTACTCAACCTTGCGACGACATGGCGCAGGTGGCCTGACTGTGGCTGTGCCCACCTGAAGAATTACCTGAGGACGCCGTTGATGAGCCACGCTGATGTCCATTGACGAAGTTCATCTCCACCCGGCTAGAATGATAGCGTCAATCCAGCTGTTGGAGCATATGCATCTAGATGGCATTGAGAGGGTTGAGTCCTTAGTGACTACACCGAGCAGCATGGCCAATATCGCACAGTCGTCATGTATGTCGTCTCTGCCTAGTGTATTTTTCGTAAGACAAGCGCCAAGTAAAACTCGGGAACTCGTGGCCATCTTTGAGACAACTGGCTACGTCTCTTCTGAGCATTACGACAATTACCTGTTCTCTGCCCATACATCAGGCGCCAAACGAGACGATACTGTGTCACACTTAAGGAGAAGCGGGGGCGGAAGTTCAGGGTCCTGGCCTAGCCCGGTGTTATCGGTATCGGTACCACTCTCTCATCCCTGTTGGAGGGGTCTCGTCATCCATTTATCACGTGATCTTCTTCAAATCCCTAGAAAAGCTCCACTCCGGAACGAATCTCGCTGCTCTGACTGGTTGCGGCATCGTCATCCGTACCTACCTCCACTTTCTGGTTCGCAGGTGGAAGGCAGTGCGGTTGGTTGCAGCTGCGCTTGCGTTGCCTGCACGGCCCCCATCCATTCCACTGACTTTCCCGGCCTTCCGGTCGCCACATCATCTGCCTTCTACAAACCCCCTCACATCCCTCATTCTACATCAACAACCACACATTGGAATTACCGACTGAATCGCTGCCTTATCCTTCGAAAACCTACAGAAAAGATGCTCTGGAAGCACTTCACAGCTGCCGCGGGCCTGGCAGCCACCGCCGCCCATGCGTTTGTGGTTCCCGAGATAACCGGTGCCGACAAGGACATTGTGAACGCCCTCCCTGTCCACCACTCCCTTCCCTTCGAAATCACCGACAGCTCCGTCGAGACGAGGAAGCTGAAGCTCGACTGCCCTGGGTGCCCCATCAAGCTGGGCTTCGACACCAAGACGGACGTCAAGAACCACCTCGATCTGGTCTTTACTATCGACGGCAGTGGACCTGTCGACAGGCTGCTGGTGAACGACTTCGCCCTATACCCCAAGACCAGCTCATGGTACTCCAGCTTGCGCGCACCTCAGGTGCCCGACTTCATCAAGGAGGCCACCAAGCATCGCTTCAAGGGCACTCCGCGCACTCCCCAGCTTGGCTACAGCCTCAGCACTAAACCTTTGGCTAAGGAGGACGCCGACCAGCAGCTTGAGCTCATCCAGCTCGATTTGCAGGTTATCGAGGTTGGCAACTACTTTGTCGATGGCATCCCCAATATCAACGTCAAGCTCGTCAAGACCCCCGCAGGCAAGCTCATGATCGCCGCCATCGACACCGTTGAGACGCGCCCCGCCGACCAGACACCCGAGAACGAGTGCCGCACCTTCGCTTGCAAGTTCTTCAAGAGCCTCAAGAACATGCGCCCTGGATGCGGTAGGAAGCATGGCATGGGTCATGCTGGCCACCACACCGGCCACCACGGACACCACGGTCATGAGCACATGCGCTCTCACCACACCTGGAGACAGCTCGCCAAGATGATCACTTGGGGCATCATTCTACCCATCTTCGTCGGCCTCATTGCAGGCGTGACCGTGAGCATGTAAGTTCAACTTTCCCCGCTCCCACACAAATATTCGCTGACCACAAAGCAGCATCGGTATGGCTGTTGGTACTGCCATCGTCTGCCTCTGGCGACTGGTCGTTCGCCGCGAATCCCCGTGGGTTCGCCAACAGTGCCGTCGTCGTGCCCAAGCCAGCCCCAAGGCGTCTCGATACGAGGCGGCGGTCGCCGAGGAGAAGAGCGGTCTCTTGGAGAGTCAGGCCGATCACGACGTCGCTGATCTCCCTCCTTATGAGGAAGAACCCAAGGCAATTCAACCTTAGGTTGTTGTGCGGTTTTTACTACATGACGCTTCTCGACATAATGACCGGACGACCACAAAAAGGACCAAATTGGACTTGCGATTGATTTTTTTCTCTTTACTTTGCCATTTTCCATGCTAGATAGACATCCGACCCACGCGACATGGTTCGCGAGGGACGGGCGTGTCGCCGACACTCCTTTCCAGTATCCTCCCTCACCTAGCTCTCTGTACAGTACAGGCGTATACCCACATTCTTTGAAATGAAATGAACTTCTACATATGCACAATGTAAACAACGCCTCGATGATCTGGACGTGACACGCGTACCTGCCGAACTCGTGTGGGGAGAGGGATGTTTATTGACCTTGTGGCCGTGGTGATTTTGTCAGGGAAAGAAAGCAAGCAGCAGAGGACGGACGCTCGACAGTGAACACAGCCTATCAAAACGCACATTGTTGAATCATGTTATTACAAGACAATATTACAATCACTCTATCAAGGTGACGAAGAATCAAGAGGTTCTCCCGTTCAGAGGGCCAGGCGCACCTACCGCCGGCCCCGAATTGCAGCCGTCCCCCGCCGGGCCTCGTCCTCAGGCGGCTCCGAGTCCAACACGCTCCTATTCCCCGTCCTTTCCGAACCCCGTCGCCGTCCGGGCCATCTCTTCAGACAGCTCCAGCATCGTCTTGTTGCTCATGATATTGAAGACGGAAAGGCTGGCACCCACTTTATCGAGGGCCCATGCACGGACTTGGACTGCTGTCAAAGAATCCACCCCATAGTCCTTTAGAGGTTTGCTCTCATCCATCTGGTCCGCGCCCACGGTCGCCTGGGATGAAACCTCTTTCTTGAGGCCATGGCAGACGAGAGCCGTCGCCTCGGCCAAGTCCTCACATGCCCCCAGCTTGGACTTCAACGAATTGGCTGTAGCACTGCCTACAACGCTGAGGTCAGGAGGCGGCATATCAAGCAGCTTCAAGTAGGAGTAAAGGGCCGTCCTAGCCCAGAATGGATCAGCCGACTTGTTTTGAAGCATCAAGCCACCCGTGCCGACCCCCAACACAACTTGCGACGGCATCAAGACATCGGGAAGGATCTCCCCGACGACAGCGCGCTCAAAGACTTTCAAGAAGTCGTCCAGACGAATCCCGTAAAATCCGCTGGCTCGTAGTATCTTCAGCGTCTCGTCGCTGTCGGTGGCCATGCCTGCAGCTAGGATCGGGCCAATGTCCAATGCATAGGCGCGTCCCATGATCTTGCCGCTGCGCGCGAGGGCATCTAGGTAGACGTTGGCCGCGGCATAGTTGGCTTGGCCTCTATTGCCAATGATCCCAGCAGAGCTGGACAGAAAAATGAACCAAGGAGGCTTAGCCAGATCGGCTGGTCGTCCGAAGTGCTCGACAAGGTTGGAAGAGCCGAGGGTCTTTGGTCTCATCACTTTCATCCAGTCTTCGAACGACATCTTATCATATAGCGAGTCCTGTATCAAATTGTCAATATCGTAGCGGACAGAAAGGCAACGGACGCCGCTCACCTGGAGGATTCCTGCGGCTTGGACGATGCCGGAGACGGGCGGCATCCCTGAAGACACGATGCTGGCATATGTGTCTTTGACTGCTTCGGCGTCACAAATGTCTACCATTATGTGCAGAACCCTGACCCCACTACCGCGGAGGAATTTGATGCACTTGATTGCTTCGATAGATGAAGGGGCCGTCCTGGAAAGAAATACGATATTCTTGGCGCCCTCACCGGCTAACCGTCGGGCGACACTGCGGCCGAGGCCACCAAGACCCCCAGCTAGGACGTAAGTTCCACCATCCAAAGCGTCTTGAAGCCGCGAGTTCTGGCAGGACGGAGGGAGGAGTACCATACTGCTGGAATCTGCTGTAACAAGTGTGCCTCCGCATGATCCATTGTCTCTGACCGCGGCAAACCCATGAGACAGAGAATCAATGGCGCAAGCCCGTGTGAAGAGCACTGGCTGGATCGTTCCATAGTGCTCCTGCACAAAATCTACGACTCTGGTAAATATGTCTCCGACTAGAGCCGGCTCATTCTCGAGAAGCAAGGCGAGGTCTAGGCGGATAATGCTGCTCAGAGGAGGATCCTCGTATGGCCGGCAGGCGTCTGGGACTAGGCTGTCGGCATGTCTAATCGACGTTCCAGCTAGAAAGAGTTTCGGTCAGTTTCTTCTCCTCAAAGCGCACGATATTGATGGAGACTCACTGGATTTAAGAACCAGCTTCATATCGCAGAGGTTCCTCGGACCCGGGTTATAGACGATGTCCACCTTGACCTGTTCATTGCTCCGGAGCATCTTTGAGCACCAGTCCGAATCATCAGAGTTATAAACGCGATTGGCGTCGAGGCTGAAGTGCTGAGACAGTTCTCTGCGTTGAACTTGTAGATCGTTGCCACTGATGGTTGTGTAGACCTTTGCGCCCAAGGCTTGCGTGATCTGGATAGCAGCCTGCCCAGTAGCACTGGTTCCGTGAAGAATCAGAACGGTTTGGTCATTGGTGATGGCGCATCGCGTGACGAGACCATAGTAGGCCTGAATCCAGGCACTTGGAATGCACTTTCGAAGGCCGCAAGGAACTCGTTTGACGAATCGCTGATCAATGTCCTGTACACTCTTCAAGGCGCCTCTTGGAACGACAGCCACGACCTGATCACCGGGCCTGATGTTGTGAACAGAATCGCCAACGGTAAGAACGATGCCAGCCAAATCATTACCGATTGTGTCATCCTTGTTGAGTCCGGCTAGTGTCTGCCAATCATGGTGCTGGAGGAATGAAGCACGATACATAATCCGAACCTTGTCTGCGCCGCAAGTCGGGTTGCAGGGGGGGCAAGCTCTTCTGAAGCAGAAGTTTGAGCAAGGATCGCTACGTTCTTCCGTCACCTTTTTGATTGTCAACTCGTTGCGATGGCCATCGAAGAATTGCATCATGCGCGGATGCATGTCCAAATTCTTATCCCTGATGAGGGCATTCAGGGACGTGATAGGCACAAGACGCGGTATGAATAATTTGCCGCTCGATTCGGCATATTCTGTTTCCCTAACCACGCCGTCTGCGGGGACTTGTAGGATGGAACGCAAATGTACCTGGACGATATTGTCAATGACGCTTGGAGAGGCAATCCAGCTGTCATTGTCCAAGTCCAGCGTGACCATGACTTTTTCAAGGTCCTCCGAGTTTAAAGTACGAGCCAGGCCAATTATGGGCGCGTTCTTGGGTAATGTTGACTTCTTGTCGGCCCCACGGGTCACCCAAAGCATTGCTTTCGACAGAGCACGCATCTTCCTAAATGCGTGGAATTTCTCCTCAGTCCAATTCCATACGAAAGAGGACGAACCCTCGGTTGAGTGGTTCAGATCTAAGAGGCAGATCATTGTAGTCTGCATTGCGTCAACAGAGTCGCGTAAGCAGGCTTCTTCAAGAGTCGAGATACAGGGCTTAAGCTCCAGTTGACAGAGCTTAGCTTCGAGACAACTCGCCAGATATTGGAGGTTTCTATCAGGGGCATTGGGCACGATAATGAGAATGTCCAAGTAGCGATCGTTGATCTTCCGATGTGCTCGAGTCAGCGACAGCTGCTCAGATATATAGTTTCCATCCTGAGAGTATGCCATGGTGACGTGTTGAGGGTCACAATTGCCCTTCGGAAAAGAATCATGTGGCCTTGTCTCAAGCAGGAGTCCATCTGGGTGCAGCAGCGCCAGCAAACGATCTCGGTCGCTGTTGCGAGAGGACGAGATGATGAGGTGGTATCTTGGATCAGCCTCCACGTTGCCGCTGAGTGCACGGCGCTCTAGAAGATTGTTGATAGGAGAGCCGCTATACGCGTTCTTGAGGGCCACAAGGACTTCCTGGTCTAGACCTGTCAAAGAATATCGCAAAAGACGGGGGACGTGATCATCGCCAGAGGCCACCATGTCGAGTACATGTTTGGCCATGTCGTAGTTGCCTCCATGTTGCAAAATTGACAGACCGGGGTACTGGTGAGCCACAAGCTGAAGGAGATGCGAAAATTGGGAGGGCTTCGCTGTGCCGAAGAACTCCATCCACCGAATCTCAGTGCACAGATTGTGATGACCAGGCAAGAAATTAGTCTGCGGCAGCGCATTCAAATGAAGACCTTTGATAACGACGGCAGGTTGATCCCAGTTTTGAACTGTCATCGCAAGCTGTGCGTCAACGCCCTTCACGCTGGTTGAAGTAATCTTCGCGAATCCGTCGAGGCGTGTTCCTGGGTCCTTGGGTATTTGTGTTGAAACGTAGATGCTATCGATTCTGGTAGGTACCATTGGCGCTGTGTCGATTGCCAACAGCAACTGAAACATCGCATCAAGAGTTGCCGGGTGCAATACATGATCGAATTCAAATTTGTGCGGCATGATGAACTTTGTGTCAGGAATCGTGACCTGTCCCACTGCGACGTTTTCACCTCGGGACACAGAGGTGATATTACGGAATGATGGACCGTAGTTCATGCCCACAACTTCGAGCGCCTGGTACATATGCAATGGGCTCACGACCTCAGTTGACTTTAGTTCAGCGGCTTTGAACCTATGCTCGCAGCTGAACGCTGGTGTTTGGTCAGACTCAGCATCAGGCATTGCCCGCATGTGGCATTGCACCTCGCCCCAAGCGTGTCTAGCCCAGGGTCTTCCTTCAGCTCTGGCGTAGAGTGTCCATGAGTAGGACATGTCACCGGAATGATGCCATTCTTGGAAAAGCTGCTTTGCATTCAAGCTCGTCTCGAGACCATATCGGCTCTCGGGAACAATCAGCGGCGCTTCGATAACCATGTCGATGATCTCAAAGCCGGCAATCTTGTCCGCTTTGTCCGATGTGTGTTGTCGGATTCCCTCGATGACCATTGTAACGATACCGGCGGCTGGGTAGATCATGGTCCTTTGTACTTGGTGGTCCCTGATCCAAGGACTCTCGTACACGCGCAAGAAACCCCGCCACTGCGGTTCCATGGGTATCGAGTCGGCTGTCGGTTCGCCGAGAAGGTCCTGGCGACCGTGACTACGCAATCGGTATTCTCTACTCATTGGTGACTCGTGCCAGTACTGTCTAGAGTGGTCCCAGGGATAAGATGGAAGGTCACGTAGAGTCTTCAAAGGAACACAAGTCCTGCACATATGTCTGGTCAGCTTCCAAGAACGAGATAAAACGCGTGGCAGTCGACTCACTTTTTGACCATGCCTTGCATGTCAACATTACAGCCTTGCGACCAAAGTGCCCCAAGGGCTGACAGCACGGAATAGGCTTCGTTGTTGCCGCGTGCCATGGCGGACACATACCTTGGGGCTAGTTTAATCCGTCGACCGACGAACATGTCATCCAGAATATCTGTAACAGACGTCCTCAAGGTACTCTGAGGCCCAAACTCCAGAAGTACATCTGGGCGCGATTCTTGAAGCATGATCTTCATAGCATCAGAGAAGAGCACAGGAGAGGTGAGGTTATCAGTCCAATATCTGGAAGACTGGACGCCAAGTTCCATACGACTGCCAGTGACGGAGGAGAACATCGGGGCAATGCCAGGACAAAAGTCCATGGGTAGATCCTGCAAACAGGCTTTATACTCCGAGTCAACGTACTTCATATGGTACGAGTGATAGGCCACCGGAACGTCGAGAATTCGATGGTAAACACCCCTTTCCTTGAGCTCAACGGCTATGAGTCGTATCCCGCTCGCGTCACCGGAGATGGTCACAGATTTGGGGCTATTGATGCAGGCCACTTGGATTGTATCGGAGACACCCTCGCGGGAAAGGTAGCTCCGCATATCGTCTTCGGACATGCTGACAGCACACATGAGGCCTTGGAATCTGGGCCCTGAAAGTCGTATGCTCATCTGTTCAGCGCATGCTCCTCGATAGAACGCTATGGTCCATGCGTCCTCGCGGCTAATCATTCCACAAGCATAGGCCGCGGCGATTTCGCCGGACGAGTGTCCCACCGCCGATGATGGGTGCACATTGCATGCTTTCATGAGATCCACGATACCCATCTGGATCGCTGTTGTGGCTGGCTGGCTGATGGAAGGTTTGTGGATAACTGATTCGTGTTGAATTTTCAAAACCTCAGTCATGAGGTTGAACTGGCTGCCAAGGTGTTTAAGAAGGTACTCAGTCGCTGCTTCAAGACTGCTGCGGAGTACTTCAAATCGATCAAAGAGCTCCGATCCCATTCCTGGGAACTGGGCGCCCTGTCCGCCGAAAAGGAATGCAATCTTGGGATGAGGTCGAGTCTTGGATCGCACAACCTTGTCCACGTCTGTCGAGCCGAGAGTCTCAGCCAGTTCCTCCTGGGTGTTAGCGACAACGTAGCCTTTCCAGTCAAACTGCGAGCGTCGGCAGTTGAGGGTGTAGGAGAGGTTGTTGAGGTCTTCAGTCGTCTTGAAATCGAGGGTATCCCAAATGTGGTCCGCATATTGGTGCATGATGCGGACCACGCCTTGTTGGTCGGGTGAGGTAAAGGTGAACAGCTGGGGCAAAGGTGTCGAAGAATCGTCTTCGACCACTATTTTCTCTGCCTCTGCCAAAGTCGCCAGCCTGCCGATGTTAGTAGGTCTATGCCTTTTGACGTGAAATTCTGCTTCGTCCAGAATGGCGTGTGCATTGGTGCCACCGAAGCCGAAACAGTTGATGCTGACACGCCGGAGGCCAGGAAGAGGCCACTGACATAAGTCTGTGGGGACCTATATGCATTGTCAATGAGTATTCGGTACCCAGTTTGATGGAGATTTCTGCTAACCTTGAGCCTGCATTCCCGGAAATCGACCCTGGGATTCCCAGTCATAAAGTTGGCTTGCGGAGGTATCTCGCCCTTCTCAAGCACAAGGACACTCTTGATGAGTCCAGCAACTCCCGCAGCACCTTCGAGATGTCCAATGTTTGGCTTCACCGAGCCGACAATGACTGGAGAGTCTTGGGAGCGAGCGGCTGCAAGAGTCGCCGCAACTGCACTGAGCTCAACAAAATCACCAGCTCTGGTACCAGTGCCATGACATTCCACATACGCCGTTTGATCAAAGCACAAGCCAGCCTTATGATAAACACTTGTGATATTTGAAACCTGGGCTTTGGTGCTCGGGAAGACAATGCCTAGCGACACAGTGGCGTCAGTAAGAACATCGACGACAGACAAGATAGGGTATCATTCGGAGCTTACCAGGAGTTCGGCCATCCTGGCAGATACCCGTACCACGGATGATAGCACGAATGGGGTCTTGATCTCTCAGAGCATCTGTCAGTCGTTTGAGTATGACAAAGCCAACACCCTCCCCGCGACCATATCCGTTGGCCCGGGCATCAAAGCTGAAAGACCTTCCGTCCGGGCTCAGAAAGTTCAGAGCGGTCATGGGCATCATGGTGTTGGGTGTCAGGATGACTCCAGCGCCCGCAGCAAACGCCTGTAGTTGTTAGCTTGTGATATGGGACTAAGTTATCATGACCGCGCATACAATCGAGCTTTCCCCGTGGCGCAAGGTCTCACACGCCTGATGGATTGCCACAAGACTGCCACTGCAACCTGTATCGATGGTCATGCTGGGCCCCTGCAGATCGTAGAAGTAAGAGATTCGATTGGCCAAGATTGCATTGCCGGTACCAGTAGCAGCATATCGTGGCTGGTAGTGGGCGTCTCTGAGGGAAACCTGCTCATAATCTTGAAGTTTGGAGATCAGTCACGCGGTCACAGGTAACCATACTTTGTGAGCATACCTTTGACGAATGAGCCCACAAAAACGGAAGTATTGGATCCCCCGAGATCTTCGATCCGCAGCCCAGCTAGAGTCAGCGAAGTCAGTCTTTACACAGCCCCGAGAAGTTTATCCTCAAAAAAGTGGCTTCGTACCATTCTCGATAGCCTCATACGAAGTTTCAAGCAGCAGACGCTGCTGTGGGTCCATGGCTTTGGCTTCTTCCTCGGTCACTGAGAAGAACTAAAGACTCTTTCAGCCATTTCATGTGTAAATGTGACTTGGTCTACTTACTGCAGCATCGAATCTAGCAAGATCTTGCAAAAGAAAGTGGGCGCCTCGAAATGAAATCTGAAGGGTCTTGAGGTCAACCTTGGCTTGGTGTTATGAGGGCTGAATAGTACTTACGCTGCCTTGTCTTTGACCATCGGGGTGATAGAAACCGTCTATGTTCACTCGATCAGGCGGTATCTCAGACCAAGCTGTATTCTTGTTCTTCATCATCTCCCACAACCCTTGCGGCGAAGTTGCTGTGCCAGGGAATCGACAGCTCATGCCGATCACGGCGATGCCATCTCCAGCATCTTTGGAGCACTGATCGTCCTCCATGGTGCCTGGTAGACCCTTGGCTTGTGATTCTTTTGGAAGGACACAAAAAGTAGTCCGAAATCCAGCTACCTCGCAATGATCCGCTGAGCCAGCAAGCAGCAAGCTTTGATGACGATACGGAATGGGCGATATGAAAGGGCGACGACGCGAAGGGATGGATGGTTCAAAAAGCACCAACGCGCAGAACAACAAGACGGAATGAATGCGGCCGCCGGGCGTTGGCTGATGGGATCAAGAGGTTGGATAAGTAACCGACAGGTGACACGCCCAGAAGTTCGGGGGATATGGCTCTGGAATAATTCCACTCACTGTGTTCAGAAAGTCTTGCAACTACCTTTGGGGTTTTCGTATCAATGCAGGACAGTGGTTTGCCAAAAGGTAGAATAGACCCTGCATCAATGATTGAAGGCAGTCGTTGACGAATTATGGGGTACGCGTTGCTGTAAGGATGCCGTACCTTCCTCGAAGCAAAGGACGCGTAAGTACCCAGTGAATGCGACGTGCCTTCCTTTCCCTGCAGTGAATTATGTTCAAAAAACAGATCCTCAATACGCTGTGGCATGGGTATGGGCACATAGACCCAGTTGGCCGTTCGGTAACGATGATTCGATTTCATCAGATGTACCTGCTTAGTCGATCAACAGACGATGATGCACTCAAAGCTCAACAATAAACTTTGGAGCATCGAGATTTACGACCAGACTGTGCGATCTCCAATTCTAGTAGAATATCATGACGCAAGTCGAGCATCAAACATAACCGGCTCTGTAAAGAATGTGGTGTTAACAAAGGAGGTAAACTGCCACTGCAACGGTCACTGACATGACTGTCCACCTAGCGATGTCAAACTCCCTAGCTTTTGTTGTATATATATATATATCTTGCCCTGGCAGAGGCATCTTTGAGGAATTCCCAACACGCATAAGCTCCATGTTATACCCGCGGGTGGAGGCGCTTCATGGGTCCCCACTTACCTCCCCAAGGCAGTGAGCTTTCAAAGTCAGTAATCTCGAGAGGTGTGGCGATGTTAACGGTTGCGAGCAAACACACAACCATTCTGATCCTAGAACTCTATATCACCCCCTCGCAAAAAGAAATTTGACATTGTAGTGACAGAGCATGTGGCGAGCTGGGTTGCCTCCTGCGATTTTGTTGACGTGCCTTCTATAGACTGTCGATCGATATTCATGGTTGTCGTCCCCGAGTGAGATCCGGGACCACGTATTCGGGCCATACGCGGCCTATAATCCGGGAGGTCATTGGTAGGACCTGTGCCTTTGGGACATGACAGAGATATTCCTTAACCTCCAGCCCAGGAGTCCGGACAAAAGCTTTCGGGCAATTGCGTCCTGCCGTCGAAAAGCTTTTTCAGATCAACGATCTACGCCCATTTGAAGTATGTGGGACGCCGTCGGTGCGTGTAAGGGCGCACATTGACACGCCTGGGCAGCCAGTCGATGCTGCAGGCACCCGCCAGGCCGGATGTCAACCTGAACCGGACGAATGCCTTGATGTGCATCGGTTTCGCAGAGACCAGCTCACTTGGCCTCTTGAATGACTGGTGCCAAACCTTTGGATTGGTATCGAGCAAAAGAATTTGCGGTGCAGCACAAGTGTAGTCTCCCTATACCTCAGGTTGGCAGGCACAAGTCGAAGCATTGTACCAGCTGCAAATCACAGATCAAACCGACTGCAAACAGGTAGCGTTTTGTATCGGAAGATGAACGCGCAACAGGGCTTCCAAGAGACACGCTCACAACAAAGGCTGAAGAGATTGGCATCAAAGTAACATCCATGGCTGAACTTTCCGTGCCTTCGCATTTCAATTGGGTACTAGCGTGGCACCTCAATCCGTTAGTCAGGACTGCGAAAGAACAATATCAAGCTAGGCGGCGTGGACTTGCGGATTCATCCACTGGTGAATATGGAAGCAAACCCTTTGACACGAAATTGATTCGCGTCGTCGTACTGTCAGAGACGGCCTGGCCAGACCTGGTTGACTGTTTTGAAGACTGCTAGTTCGTGGAAACAGCATCGTCTAGGGGCATGAGAGGCCACCCGAAACATGGCCAGGAAAGTACAAGATATCGTCGGTAGTTGAACCCCACGTGCTGGGCGGATGAACTCGTCTCCGGGGTCCGTGCTGAAATATTGACGTTCCTCGTCCATGCCTGCCCCAGCCCCAGTCTTACTGGTGCCGACCAGTACTGGTAGTCAAGCAATCCTCGTTCACATCAACCACGAATCCGACGCCTGGAGATGAAGACCAGTGCTCTGGCACCTGTCGGAGTCAATGAATCTCAACACTGTTCGGTTCGAAAGTCGTTTCCCAAGCGTTGAGTGACTCGCCGTGATGCGAGGACGGCATCCAGCAGTGACAATGCCAGGCCGCCACAATGGCCTCGGTAGTAGCCGACCTGGAATGCGTGTAACACCGGATGCCATTCGCCTACGACACGATGCAAGCTGAATTTTGGCAAGGTGCGGAAGGATGGCGCGATCCCCACGACCGAGGGTTTGCCTCTGATAGCAAAGGAGACAAATCAAGCTATCACCTCGTCTTGCCTGATGACGCTCATCTACGAGACAAGCTGTGCTACGAGCAGTTTGCGTCACGCAAGTTTACTTACCTTGTCATCTCCGGTCCACTCTGGAGAAGATCTTCTCAACCTCTTGAGCCCATGGTTGACAAGATGGTTGATACGACAAACCCTTTTTTGCTGGAAGATATCCGGGAAATGAGCCGATGATGCAACATTGCTAATGCACGTGCTAGATGCCTCCTCTTCCAGAGCAATGTGCCCACCACGACTGCTTCACAAGCGATTGCATGCTATATTTCTGCAAGGTTCATAGAACTCTATACGCTCAGCGATCACAATCCTCGGCATGCTGCATGTATCCGTCTTACTCGACCAATTGCACCTGCCAAGGAACCGGCTCAGGGGCGTCTTGGTCCGACCGCGCCGCTCATCCAGCCTAGTACAAGGCTCTCTGTCAAGCCGCGACTGGCTTCTTTACGCCCAGAATTGTCTTTCTCGACAGGTTTATCATCTCACAAGCTGATTCGGCGATGTTTCGACGCTTCAGGAGTGAATGTCGAAGCGCCTGATAGGCAACACGTCCACTCACGCCCCTACACCGACCTTGAAAAGCTTTCTCCTTATTCTGATCATGAATCCCACCCACTCATGTTTCAGTTTCGTACTTCGTTAGAGCTACCGAAGGTCTCAATTGACCTCGCGGGACAGCTGGTCCACAGCCCTGATTTGTCGCCCCATCGCGGTGTTGAGAGGGGTATCCCCCCCAGACAAAATGCCATTCAAGCAATTCAGGGACGTTTCACATCTGCAATCTATGATGGACCTCTTACTGTATCTGGTGTTCCCGCTTGCTTCATAACACAAATCCCGGCTCCTTTCTCGCCGTGTCTTTACTGTGTGCGACTGTCAGAGAAGATCTCATCGACGTTCCCGGTTCCTTCGAAGACATGTCTGCTTGCGGCCACCAGTGTCTTCTCTTTGGCGTATTCTTCTTTGTCTCGGCAATCTAGTTTCATACAGAATGAAATCCACTCTCTGGGTTATCTTCTTCCAGTAGAGAAAAGAATATTCACGGCTGGCTCTAGTGGATAACGGCTGTCATAGCTCCCCTGCCCATGGCTTTGCGAACTGCATATGCGTAGCCGATAATTTGTATTGAAACATCTAGATGCACCCTTATTACCCGAGGATTTATTTTCCAAGGAACGGGTTCAAGTATTTAGTTGTCATTTTACTGACAGGATAAGAGGCCTGGAGTAGCATCGTCGTCCAAGTCCTTAAAGGTCAGCTGTCACCCTGGTGCCACGACCAGCATACCTAAGGAGGGCTCTCATCGATCGACGGGACTCGCGGAGGCAAGCGCACACGTATCTCTGCCAATATTCCTGAATCGGTAGCAAACACTTCGACAGAGGCGACAGGTTTGGAGATTGCAACTGGCGTTGCTCCTGATCCCACCTCCAGCAGAAGGCAGTTGTTGCGCTGATCGACCATATGCCCAGACCTGCCTACCTTACCTATCTCGGGTGCTGTTCGCGAGAGCTCCTGCCGGCGGCTCGATTACCGGTTCTGCCCACATCTACCTGCCTTGTCTTCTCTTGGTACACGTATTTTACTCTGGTTCTGTCTGGCTGATTTTGGTCCTCTCTGCCCCTCCACCATACTGCCCTCTGCAGGAAGAAACACCGACAATTCTTCACCTTTCCTCACGGTCTCTTCCTCATACAGTTCAAATTCTCCATCCAAGATCATTTGACATTCGGTCAGCGAATGCGACGATGGAAACCTCGCATCAGACCTTCGGGCGCCGTTTGTCGACCAGCCAGCTCTCATACCCCAATCATACCCTCGGAGATATCGCTGATCTGAGCTTCGTACGCCTCGGTCGGGTGGAAAGGGATAAAGACCTTGGCCCTCTTTTACATCCCGGGCAGCCTCTCAGCAAAGCGCGTCAGACAGTCCTTGTTTTTTGGTATGTCGATAGAAGAGGCCACATGTCCAAGCTGTCATCGAGCAACACTAACATACGTCAGCCTTCTGCTGGGGTTTCTTTTCTCGACCGTGGACACTTGCATTGTCTCCATCCCACTCCTTGCCATTTCGAAAGAGTTCAACGACTTCACCAGCTCAACATGGGTGATACTTGCGTACCTGCTTACTTACATGGCATTCGCCACCGGCATAGCCCAGCTGAGCGACATTTATGGTCGCCGCAACTTGCTCCTTCTTTCCTGGACCATATTCATCGCTTTCTCCATGGGCTGTGGCGCTGCAACTAGCATGCCGGTGCTCATCATTTGTCGTGGTTTTCAGGGCTTGGGAGGCTCTGGACTGTACAGCATTGCGCAGATCAGCATTGTCGAGATTGGCCCCGGCCATCGCCCCGGCCTGGTTGGGGCCCTGATGGGAGGTGTCCTGGCGTGCGCCTTCATCTGTGGACCTCTCTTCGGTGGCCTC